TGGACATCCCCAGGCCAACCTTCAGGGGCTTTCTGGCCGGACTCATCTTGAACTTCAGTTTAGCCAGACTGTCGAACAGCTTCGGCAGATGACGGGACACCTGAGAACAGAGGCACGGCAGAGGGTCAGGGACCCCTGGTCCCACGCAGAGGTGTAATCACCGCTTGGATTAACTCCTGTATGTCTCTCAGGGCACTGCATCCCTGAGAAAGGGGGGTACCAAGGATGGCGTTCTGTCTGTTGGGATGAAAACTATTTTAAAACCGCTATAACAAGTTAGCACGCAAAAGACACAGGACTTGCCTCCACACTTTACACTCGACCCATACCTCAACTGGCTCATTCCCATTAGATAAAATATCAAGCAGGTCTGCAGAGGAAACAAAGTAGAATCTGGGAAAAGCCAGTCTTTTGGTCTCAAGGTATTCAGCCAAAGCCTTCTCACAGAGTGCCAATCTAAGAGGAAGCAAGGAAGAAAAACTGCAGTTAAAACCTCCACATATTAATTTTTACTCTTTGCGAAGTCATTGCCATGTTGAGGAAGATGCCACTTAGGAGAAATCAAATCCTTCCTCTGGCCCTAGACCAGATAGTGAGGCGTCTCCATAACGCTTCACCAGGACGACTCAAACCTCACCTTTTCTGCAACGCTTCTAGCTTGTCGTAAAGACCAGGCTTGTTTGTAGCTTCAATCACATTGGGAGTTTTTACCGCATCGGCCATTAATTCCTGCAAGAGGAAAAATGCTTCAGCTCTACCCACACTGGCAGCTAGCGCTCGGGGGTCCGGGGGCGACGGGCTTCGCACTTTGAAATCTTGATCAATAGCATCAAAATGCTTCGAGTCCTCTGGCAGTTGACTGCGGATGTCTTCAGAGCCGATGAAGATGCTTTCCAGGTGACTCCACGTCCTCTGCACCTCAAACCAGATGCTGATAACGGAGTCGGTGGTCGACAGCTTCTGCTGCCAGCCCGACACCTCCTGAAGGAAGAAGGCTAGGTACTTGGAGGTCATCAGGTTCTGCAGCTGCACTTGGTTGTCCTCCAGCATCTCGATGAGCACCTCATCTGACTTGAGCAGCATGATGCCGGTCCTGGCATGAGGCTCGTGCTCAAACTGCATCGTTGCCCAGGTAGCATCCAGAGTGTTCAGCACCTGCAGACAGGGCGTGAGAAATGAGCTGGACTCTGCGGTGCCGAGTCCCAGACCGTGCGGAAAGGCAAGGCAGCAACAGGAATGCTTCCTCCAGACCATGAGCTCCATGGGTGCTGTGCTGCATGTGGACTCCAGCCCCCAGGGGCAGGAACATGAGCACTAACAGCCACAGAGCTGCATCAGAGCAGGGCTCTCAGCAAAGCAGGGTAGGAACAGAGCCCCGTTTACCTTCTCCATCCCCGACTCTTTCACGGCTTTGTCCACGATGCCATGAACCTCATCCTCGAACTTGTGCAGGTTCAGCTGCAGCAGATCCGCGAGGGTTGTGTCCTCAGACATGGTGAAGTTCACCTGGAGCAGAACCAGCACTGTCGGGGCATGGACTCCCCTCCATGGAGACGCAGCCCAGTGGCTCGCCTGAACGAGCTCATTAACACCCATGTTTAAAGACCCTACGCAAATATTTGTGTATGGCTAGCTTTTAAAACAGATTGCATGCTTCCTCTGATGGATGCAAATCTCAGGAGCCTCCCGGGTCAGGGGTTGGAGCCAGGGAAGGGCGGGAGGGCTGGGAGCACCTTGGTTGCCTGCATGAGCTCATGCCAGTGCCGGTCCCTGATGGCCGGGTTCTGCAGCTCGTTCATGGCGCGCAGGGACGTTATCATGTTCTTCACACTGTTGTCCAGCCCTGTGAACGCATCCCAGCTTCTCATCTCCTTATCCAAGCTCCGAATGTCTTTAGCAAATTTCTTACAATCGATATCCATCTGCTCAACATTGATATCCTTCCACCTGGTGGTCTTCCAGTCGTCAATGCTCGTGTTAACCTGAATTCAGGGATACATTTTCACGGGACATGTAATTAGCAGAAGCATTCCTTCCCAGGATGAAGAGCAGTATACCCAGCACCTGCACAGCCCGTGCACCCGTCATGCCTCCCACGCGTGCACGCCCAGTGCCCGCACACCCATTGCATCCGTGCTGGGGTGCGCAGCCCCCGCCCCAGCAGACCTGCTCTAACGCTGTGACAACCTGCCCCGTGTCTCATCCCACCTCTCATGGCAACGAGGCTCTCGGAGGAGCTACAACAGCTTTGCACCTTTGGCTGGCAATGCCCAGCTGGCGCAGGGTGCCCGCGCAGGGTGCCCACACTGGGTGCTGACACCTGCCAACAGCAGTCTGCTGTCAAGCCCTTGTCTGGAGGCAGCATTGGGCATCGTGCCCTGGCACAGGGGCCAGCACTGAGCCCAGGGCTCCCGGTCACTGCACTCGACCGCAGACAACTACCAGCAGCCACCGTCTGTGGATGCCGGGCAGCTCGTCACGGCCTCAGGAACTTCAAAACTGTGAGGACCGGCCCAGCACACCCCAGAAGCCTGTTCTGCACATCCCCGTGCTCCTGCCTCCTCCTGCCCTCCCCATCGTGCTGGCTCACAGACCGCGGCACGTACCAGGATGATCATGTCCCAGAGCTCCTTCAGCAAGCGCACCTCCCTGTGGCATGCTTTGAGCTGTTTATATTCTGGGACCAACACTTCAAACAGCCCAGCTGACTTGGAGAGGGCTGCCATGTCGCTCTCCATGGCGGCGATGCTCTTGTGTTGCTGGCCGGAGAAAAAGAAAAGGTCTCAGCTGGGGATCGTGTGACAGGGACATGTCTCCTACACCAGCAATGGCTTCGTCCCTGCTGCAGCATGGTGGGAACAGGACAGTTGCTGCCACAGGGCCAGACCCTCCCCGTAGGGCTGGGAGCCAGAGACAGAGCTGGAGTGGCTGCACCCCCCCAGCCGCCCTGTGTAACAGCACCCAGAGCACCCGGTGCACAGGGCCGGGG